TAGTGCAATGCAAATCAATTCTATGCTTTTCTATTAGATTATCGAAACACGCAAACTACTTAGAAGAAAATGACTATTCATAGTCAATATTGAATTGTCACATATAGACTGCACAAATGTCAATTTATCTTAGGATTTAAGACATCATTATTTTCTCACAAATACTTTGAGCAAAAAGGACAAACCGAATTTTCGTTGTGGTTTGCAATTTTCCGCAAAATAAAACAAAATAACTTCGATTGTGGCTGAGAAAATTTAATTTCAACAAATGCACACAACTTTCGCTCGACTTTTTATGCAGAATTTATGCAAATATTGGGGCGGAGGTGTACTAAATTTAATCAATGTTAGACAATGGAGATGTGTTTTTAAATGCATTATTTTAATGAGTTTTGCAGAACAATACAAACAATAATGGCAGCAATAATGTTGCCCGAAAATAGTTACATTAACTCTTATTTGAACAAAAGTTTATAGAATTTTGGCTTTTAAATGCCAAACAAATACAATAAATATTTACCGACTTCCACACTCCACACAGATGCAGGCACATATAGTCCTTCTAAGCAGTCCTAAGTCCTGTTGCAACCTAAGCACAATGTTGCATTTTTTGGCATTTAATTTCATTCGTTTGTGTTTGCTTGGGAAAAAGTGCTTAAATTGTAAAATTGCTGGCAATAATGTCGATAACAACTTTTTAAATTAGACAACTGGGAATTTTTATTTCTTTTTCCTTGACTCTTTCCTTTTTAAAACTATTATGTTGAATTACTTTTTTACATATCCTTAGCATGACATTAGTGCATAAACATAACTTCTTTAAACATTTGACCGTTTATATAGAGTGGAGTAATGGTCAAACGTTTACCAAAGCGAAGATGCACATTCCACTTTTATGGACCATAAAGGTTTAGTAGTTTATACTATATAAAAGCATCCAATGGGTTAATTTCAGAGTGCTGCAATGAAAGAAAATTAATTTTATTTTTATTTGACTTAGCTATAAATATACATCAGTAATGGATATATGTAAACCATAAAAGCATATAACACTCTGATCAAAAAATAAAGTAGAATTATTCAAAGTCTTTATTTGTTCTTCAAAATCAATTCTTCTTTGCTTGAACAAAAGCGAGTTAGGGCCTAAAGCAATTTAACGGATAAAATCTGTAATCTTTCAGATAATATCATCCACTGTAATAAGAGTTCCGTTAAATTCAGATAATAAGTTTTTCAGATGATTTTATGGAAGTAAACTTTAAAGCCCAGCATATCTAGCTGACGGAATATATATTGTATTAGATTTGACAGAGTTAAATTCAGAATTAGTGTGTGCCTCTACAGCATCGAACAATTTCAGCGCTTTATCTTTTATATACTATATATACTTTTGCACACTCTCAACTCTCAAGTCTTTGTGTGCAGCTTTATTTCTGATTTACCATTGAGCTTTTAACATACGTCTAAGTACAATATATTGATATATCTGGTAGATGGAAGTTTTCTAATGGTGGAGAGAGTAGCATTGCCATAAATAACACATCTATAAAGTAGTTTAAGTCTAATTATTTGCTCATAAAAAAGAATTTTATCTTTGGTACTGAAATTTTCTTGTATTAGATCAATTAGAGACCCATTAAAGTGCTCTCTTTTTGATGCAATAAACATATGCCAATGTTATTTCCAATCCTGGAAACAATTGTTACAATCGATTCTTAGAAAGGCGTAGCGATGCTTTGTAATACAAACTATAAGTTCTAATGGCTATATAATCATCAATTTCTTTAATCATAAAAAATGACAGGTTGATCATAAGAGCCATCAAATACATTTAGTTTTTGATTTGTTGCAGGAGACAATTTCCGAATATGTAATTTCACATTTTGATGATGTAAATTGACCAAAGATGCCAAAACAAAGTTAATTCGATTTTTATCATTGGACCATTAAACTTCTTTCTATATCAAAGACCGAAATTATATTTATGCGAATAATTCCCAAGCTCTCGATGCCTCGATAACTGGTTAGCCGTTACCAGTTTTGTGCCAGTAAAACCTCAGCTTTAAAAAAATTTCAGGAGTTTATTTACGAATAACATAATATTTAAGCGATGTTGCATCTACAAATATTTTCATAATCCTTTTATTATATTAAAATTTTAATTTTATCTATGTTCCAATCATAAATTTTTATGGTTGCTTTTAAAACCGTAAAATGGGTAACACTGTATTATACTAATATCCTTTACATATCCAACTTAATGCTCTTGACAAATTCTGCGGGACTCACAAAATATAGTCTATTCTTTAATTTTTTTTAGTATATCGGTAAAATATTTTATCACTACGATCTTTCCAAAGATTGCATAATTCTCGAATCATATTCAAATTCAGATTGTGATAACAAAAATGAGTGGGAGTTGTATTTTGCACAAGACACCAAATAACTGAAAGCAATTTACAAAAATTTCTCTCCCCAATACTATAATTTAACTTTCAATAAATAATAAAGCTATTCTATTTTTGCTTGGGTATACTTAAACCTTTCTTTAGGAGCCATCAGATGAAAAATTCCCTAAAAGGAAACCGCTATATGAAATATTCCTTTTAAGGCAAGAGTAAGAAATCTTATGCATATAGTATGTGTATGTATTGCAAAAATGTATTAGTAATAATTTAGTAAGAATATATTTCTCTATTCTACAAAAAGGATGTGACTTCTCATTCCTTGCCTGCAACTCCTGTTGCAGCAATGTTGTTGAAACAATGTTGTTCAATTGTTAAAACACTCGTTGATAAACGCATATTGGCAGGCTAGTAGTTCATACCCATTCATGTCCATTCTTCACCGAGTAATAGGTATTCATGTAAATTTCAGTTGCATATTCGACTACATTTTTCCATTGCCAGTCCCACCAATCTATGCAATTTGCATATGACAATCCTTGCCGAATGAAGAGTTTATTTGTGCAAATGTTGCAGACACTTTAACAGCCATTGCTCTTATTGTTGCTTGTTATATGTGTTATGTTGCAAATGACCAGCAATTATGTCGTTGATGTGTTACCATTTATGCGTGTTTTTGTTATCATTACATACTCTATTTTACTTGCAATGGTAGATGGAAACAACAATGATTGTTTTAATTAATATGCAACATTGTAGAAAGCAATTTTCTCTTCTGTTTTTGACTGATAAGAATATAACAGGAGGGTTTGAGATTAGGTGAATAGTTAAATAAATACGCAGCTACATACATTTTTTGATTGTATATAAAGTATAGTAAAGAACTATAACGTATTCAAATCATAGGCTTTTCTCAAAAGGTCACGTAACAAACTTGTTGACAAATTGGAAGGAAAAATATTAGCTAATTTGTGTTAGTGATGTTATAAGCAGAACTCTTAATATTGTACTAAAATAAATCTGTTGTGAGAAAAAGTTGTTTTCATTTTATAATTCTCATCCACTTAGAAAGTATTTCTTATAAATAAGTTCAAATTAATTATATTTTTTGTGGCAAAAAGCCAGCAGTTATCTGCTCTAATTTAATGTGTTAGATTTGTATGTGGAAGGCTGAACCTGTGTTCTTCTATTTGTTCGTTATGCTTTGGTGCTGTTATAATAGTCAAAGTTTTTATGTTTGGTTTTTTTTTTAAGTACAACTGAGCATTTGTTTGTGTTGCCTTTGCCATTTATAGTGCTGCCTGCTAACATTTTTATTTTTGTTGTTGTCTATTCATCAACTTTAGCGTTATAGACACGGTTGCCACTTTTGGTACTTTAGTACCAAAATTGGTACTTTTCTTTTATTTTTTTTTCGTTTGGTACTCATGTTCAAAAACTGGTACATTTTTGACGACCCAACTTTATTGTGGATATTTCCAATTAATTTTTTTTATAAATGCAACTTTGCTCTATTTTATATTTTGTTCATTTATAACACTAGGAAAAACATAGAACGAGAAAACAAAAAGGTCCAAAAAAATTTTGGACCTCTTTTTACAGAAATGGTACCTTTTTAAACCAATTTTGGTACAGAAAAAAATTTTCAAGTGGCAGCCGTGGTTATAGATCGGGTGAGTTTTAGCTGCATCAACCAGCTTTGTCCATTTTACTTTGCATGTTATTTTAGACCTTATTTTGGATACTCATAAATTCTGATTCCATCGGTCACTATTTCGAACCATCTTCTGCATGACCTACCTCCGCCGTGATTATACGGCGTAAAATGGAGTATTCATCAGGCATTCTCATGACGTGTCCGAT